TAAACGTGTTTCCGGTATCATCGTCATCTTAGAAGCCATGTAAGAACGGAGTACCAAGATTGAGGATGCTTGGCGTATTTGTAATATGGCAACTGCAGACTTAGTCGATACTGGGCCCTCCTATTTCGAGAGGTTATAGCTGCGAGGCATTGACTGCCTGGTAAAGACTTCAAAGGATAATCTCGCCTTTTACCGGCTCCCTTGACAGAATCGCACTGAAGACGTAATAGAAAACAGAGCGAAAACTAAATTGCTTCATTATCTTAACTTGACCTCGTTGCGCCTAGTTTCCAGGTCATGGAGCATGCGTGAAGACCGAAACAATAGAATAAACTTAGGAAAATTCATCCGCGACCGATAGGTAATAGCAGACTTCGAAAATGAGTGTTTGACTGAATGATATAGAATAATTATAATGTGGATGAATCGTTCTTGCCAATTTATAGCCCATTTGATAACGTATTTGTCAGACAGAAGGAGCGCACGGCGTTTACAACGCAGGTTGAACATTGCATATCTGATTAGATGTGGTGGCGCTTTGTGTGTTTGCATCCTTTTACCTGCCGTTGCGCCCTTGCCTTTTATGCCAACTGCATCTCATGAATGAAAATGTCGTTCGCTGCCACGAACACAACCGAGGGGGAAAACAATGTACTTAATTTTGACAGCTGCTGTCCGAGGTCCTTGCGACGGATGGACTCTGACATTCCAGGAGCAGTACAAGAGGCCTAGTCCAGCATTGCGTGAACATACATTGCGAAATACAGGGATTTACTTGTGCTCTGTCGCTGGTGTGGTTAAACGGCCGCTCTTGTTTTTAACCAGAAATACGCTGCTGTCCACAATTAGATAAATCGTTTAACGCTGTATGCAGCAGACTTGCTAAAAAAAAATATGTGAGAATGGAAAACAGCTATAAATTTCGACTTTGACGATGACTATCTCAGTGTACCAAGACAGCAGACGTCTTCCGTTTCATTTCTGAGGAAACAGTGTTCATGAACTCCTGCTCTTAGTTCTGTAGAGCATACTTGTCACCAGGCTTGTCCTCGTTATGAATGTACGTTAACGTTAGTCAGCACGGCAACAGCATTGAAAATATCGGCTTTTTGCTTTAACCACTTACCAATTAATTAATTTGACCATCGGATCGTTCGATTGTGTTCTTAGATGATCGAGATCACGTTTGTGGTCCAGGGAACCTAGTTTGTCATTCTTTGGTTACATTTCTGATCCGTAATCTCGGCACAAATCACGTGTGTTAATGTAATTCGAAGAACGGTCGGCATTTTTCACAGTTCCGTAGAGGTAGAAGGCTGAAAATCGCTACTCTCTTCCACCAAAATGAATGGTCTTGAAGGCACGATGACAGACAAATCTTCATACTAAGCTCAGCGAATCGCCAGAACGAAAACAGTGCAATAATAGTCGCCAGTAAATGCAGGATTCGATTCGAGCGATAGTTCGTTTTTTGCTCCGCGGAATATTCGTGAGGACAATTGGCCTCATTCGAACTCTGCCATAAAACATCACTTTCAAATTGAAAAAGTATCGTTGTGGCTTCATTTTAGTAAAAGCGCTTTAAATGATTAATGACTATTTGCTACCTCAGAATCAGAGATGACTCGCATACCGTCTTCTGTAAATTTTGTTGTCCCTGTAGCAGTAAATACAGTCGGACTGCTCCACGAGCGATGGTGCTTAAAAACGTGTCTGAAACGTTGCAACGAAACTTTACAAAAAACGTCTCGCTAAAAGGCATTTTCTGGCACAAAGCAAAAATCGATACGGCTGCTGGCTGCTGTTAGTTCTGTCGAGATAAATTAATGCAGCACAAGTGAATATTTTTACAATACGTCATTCGTTCATTCATTCCGGGAACATTTATTTAAGAATATTGTTATCATAAATAATACGATAATTTCATAGCAAAATCTTGCTCCTTGTTGCCTAATGGGGCCATTGGACAACGCCACGGCTCCATGGTATGTTGGCTCTAGCAGAGTCAGGTGTAGCTCGTGTCACCTTGCTCTTTAAAACCATGTCGCACTCGTAATAAACTTTATATAAAACTAGATACCAAAGCGACTACAAATTTCCGATGCACCCTTTAAAATCGAATTTTGTGCTAACGACTGTTTTGTTTAACAATTCCCAGAAATTCAGCAAATATCAGTATTGCCTTCAAATCTAAAGAGATGCTATGATCTCTACTAACAACGAAGGCAAAGCCGGATGCTTCTTGAAGACGCAACGGATGTGGTGTAGCAAGACTTGCAATCACGTGGCATCGGCCAGACACCACGGCGATTACGGGTCAGAGTTGATGAGCACAGGTGAGCGATGGCGGGTCAAGAGCATTGTGAAAGTTGGAAATAACTATTTGACTCGCCCATCGTCTTATTTCGACTGGTCACCAACCGAATTCGAACTTTGGAAGGGTCTTGTTAAATGCCACTTTGATTCAAACCATGGAAAATCTTAGGAATCAGCCCTCTATTTTTCCTACCGTGCTCCCTTTAGCAAGAGTCCGCTACTGTGGGTTGGAAATGTTACATCTGAATCAATACTGT